AATTGAGCCTTTTGATTGTAAAACTACAATTCATAGTGATGAGTTGAGAACTTATTTGAAATTCAATACCTTGTTTCACATTCATGAAGTCGTAAATCATTTTGAAAATTTCGTTGACCCTGAGACCCGTTGTCATACTCAATTAATTAAGTGTGTTTTTGTCATGCAAAATTGAAAGTAATAAAGAATAAGAGGGGAACTACCATATCATTGTTGCAAAGCCATTTGAGTTTTTTCTGATTCTGTTACTTATCAGAAATGAGGCATTTAAAAAATGTTTAAAAATTATTGGTAGAGATAATTTACAAACCTCTTTTTTATTTAATTTTTTATTCAACAACCACTACTTCTACCCTCTTAGGGGTAAGGTTGTTGAAAAAACATTTTAAATTTTCATAAATTTTTACTCAAAAAATTTATATATAAATTTAAGAAGTCAAACCGGTTCACTTAAGTCAATAAAAATGACACTAATATTTCTTATAACAATATATTTAATATTATTGTGTAAATTTTTTGTAAACATGGCACTGTTTTGATTTGCGCTGTTTTTTCAACTTAATCTGTCAATTTGAATATCGCCTTAAAACTGATTAGCACCCTATAAATTATTATAACGAAAATATTTATATCAATATATTTTATCAATAACCCCTATTATAAGGGGAAGGGGTTTTTGATATTCTAAAATATAACTTAATAAAATTTATTGATGATTCTTCCCTAAAACTTCATAAATACTTCAAATTTAGAACCTTTGTATTGTAAACAAAAGCAAAAAAAACTCAAATGATATTGCAAAAAAGTAATGATGTATTTCTTTTATTCTTCATTATTTTTAGCTTTGAATGGCTTTAAATACGCTCAATCAACTGGATGAGACACACATTTGTTGGATCTATAAAATTTTCGCAATAGATTTCTACATTGTTGCCATAGAAAAAAGAGTTTAGACCATCATATGCTTTCCACACATCTGATACAATGACTCTTTGCGCATCTACATGTTCAAGCTAAAGTGGCGACAATTGTCTCAGTCTCGTTTCTCTACAAGAAACATTTTAAACCTCTTCGAGCCTTACTCTGCCAATTAAAATACCTATGGTCCGTCAACTCTGTTATCAAAGTTGTTAGTGTGATTGTTAATCGCATTACTCTTTATGAAATTATCAAGAAAAACTCTTCTTCTGTTGTACTTTCGACGACCTTTAAAAAGAGATTTATCAATTTATACAACTTTCCCTGGTCCTACTAAACTTTTACTCATAATATAACATGTGTTTCCAATAAGATGTATTTAATCCAATTGGTCACTGTATCAGTTCTTTTAATTTTGCTCGCAGTCATCATATATGATATTCTTCTCACCTCAAAATAAAGAAAGATAAATTTTGCCAACTTCTGAATTGATGTTACAAGTCGTGTTCTTCCCTCTTCATAAAAAAGGTATTATCAAAGAGAGTATATTCTCTTCAACACAACTTACATTAAAGAAAAAAATGAGTGCAACTCTCTTTCTAATTCTCATGTTGAGTCTTTTGCTTTCACAAAATCCATACTGCCTTTCGGTCACAGTTTTATGACACAAATTAACTCTAGAAATGTCAAAAAGTATTATTTTATAAAATAGTTTCTAATAGCTCACTATAATACATTAAGGATATAAATATTTTAAAAGAATTTAATAAAATTATATGGGGCACTAATTGAAAAATAGGGAACTTATCAATTTTAAATAGTAAGTTTTTTATATGAGCGCTATTCATAAAATGAAGTATTAATCAAAAGAATGCCTAAAATATTTTGTAGTTTTCACTTTAAATCTAAATATACCTACAATTAACAATATTGTTAAACTCCTCCGATGAGGTTTCTATACTTACCCTTTTTGGTTTATCAATAAAACATTTTCCTATGATAATTGATTATTATTTTTATTTAAATATCTAAAATCCTTTTTTTTTGAGATTGACAGCTATCGTTATTATTAATAATAACACTGCCAATAATAAATGTTTTTTTATTTGTTTGATTAATTAAAAATTATTTAAAGTAAAAAGATAAGTTAAAAAATTGAACTGATCTGAATTCGTACTTTTTTAAAAGTAACCGGTGTTATATTCAACCATTATGCAATTTTTTGCCTATTTAATTAATTTTTAAAATGATTATATTGAAATATACAAATTTAATATTAAATTTAATGAAGACTGAAAATTTTAAAATAAACTCGTGTTTTATCTAACCATACTTAATTTATAATCAATTTAATTAAAATTATTTAAAATTAAAAAGATAGTTTAAAAAAATGGATTAATAGGAATCGAACTTTTATAAAAGTGACCGGTTGTGATAAACAACCTTCGCACAATTTTTGTTATTTTTAATTTTTCTAAAATATTTAAATTAAAAATAAAATATACAAATTTCATAATAAATTCAATTAGAAATAAATTTTTATAATAATTATCTTTTTATATATGTTACTTAAAGATAAACTTAGAATAAAAATGTCGAAAGAGCTTTTAATTAAAAATTTTAACCCTGTTAATTAATTTATAAAATGAGTTAAAATAAAATTTAAATATGAGTTAAAACGAGTCAGAAAAGACTCTAAAACAAGAAGTGGAACAAGTGAATGCAGATGAAACTTTCAACAAAATAAATTAGATTTGATTCATAATAAATTTAATTCAAATTATTTAAAGTTAAAAAATTTTAAAAAATGAACTGATCGAGAATCGAAATTTGTTAAAAGGAACCGGTTTTTAGGAATAACCAGTAGCTTATACTTAGTTATTTTTTATTTTTTTAAAAATATTTAATATTTAATAATAATTTCATGAAGAATTAAATATAAAAATGAATCTAAATTTTTACTTAAACCAGACTTAATTTGCTTATTATTTTATTAAGTTATAAAATAATTATATTAAAATATCTACAAAAAATCAATTAATTATTGAAATCAAAAAAATAAACTATCTTACCCTCTAATAAATATTTGTTTGATTTCTGAATCTAAGTTTCAGAATTACTATAAAAACAATTTCCTTAAATAAAAGATGTTTAAACATAAGTATTTATTTTCAAGTAACCAACACAGCCGTGCAGGGCACGACATAAACATTTGTTTTTTATAAAATCAAAGGGATTAAGTGCAAAAATATCTCCACGAATGGAAATTTTTGCAATTTTCAAAATTGAAATAAAAGGCTAAAAGAATGTTTTTAAAAAGGTTTTTAACACATAATTCATTGATTTAGTAGTGTAATTGAACAATAAGTTAGTGGTCTCGTAGAAGACTAATAGATTTTTTCGTATAAAAGGCATACTAAAAAGGTATGTAACATGTGAAACATGTCTTTTAGATATGAAAAAAAAACATATACTAGAAATAGTGATGGTGTGGCATTCAGTTGTTATAAAGAAATTGTAATGGTTTCTCTAAGTATGTTTTAATAGGATTAGTCACTACTATCAGGATTCACAATATCTCTGAAATACATATTATTAATAGTTATTAAATGGTTAAATAACCATACTCATCTTCAGATAGGTGCTGAGGTGAATATTGTTAAAAAATTTATTATTAAAATTATTGATTTATTTCGTAATCAATGTTTTAAGCATGAGACTAATAATCCAATTCGTCTTGGTGGTGATGGTATGATTGTCCAAGCAGACAAAAGTTTATTAAAATATGAAAAGAAATACATTCGTGGTTAACGACTAACAAGAATGATTTGGGTATTTGGACTAGCTGATTGTTCATTTACTCCAGCAAAAACTTCATTGCATGTTGTTCCTAACAAGACTGCTTACACTCTACCACCAATAATAGAACGAGTTTATGCCCCAGGAACAATAATCCACAGGGATCAGTTGAGAGCATATTTAGGCATAAGTAGTATGTTAAGATTTACATACTTTACTTTTAATCACAGTAAGTGCTCGTAAATCACAATAACGGTGTTTATACTCAGAATATCGAAGGTATGTGGAACAATTGTAAATATGCTATTATAATACATAAAAGAATTGTAGAATTAAACATACACTAATTTTATATGAATAAACTCGGAAAATAATTTAAGTTTAAATAAGACGTTAGATGATTTATTGAAACTATTGAGGTTTGATTAAATTAGCTTATTTACTTGTTTTTTAATTAATTTTTTTACTTGTTTTTTTATGAGGAAATTTATACACTTGATCTGATTTTGGTGATAAATGTTTTCTCTTTCAACTTTTAATTAAAAAAATAAACATTATCAAAATCAAACCTTAAAAAATTAAAAGAGTTTTTTAATCAAGTCTTTTTTTTCTCCACGTGGGTAAAAAAATGACTTTAAAAATACAAACAAAAATATAATAAAAATTTTCCATGAAATTTTTAACCCATGAAGCATTGGCATAGCAGTGTATTAGAACCACTTTTACATAAACCAACTGAAAATTTGATTGAGTTTCTTTGCACCAAAGACGTATTGTAAAGCTACGTGAATTGCGTATCTTATCAACGGAATATGCAAATGAGGCCATTCTCTAGAAATAGAAATGAAATGATATTAAGGTGTTAAAACAATAGGTGTATTAACTAAAGTAAATACTTTTCTATTCGCATCGAGTCATTATTATTAAGTTTTAATGTACATCTGAGTAACTTTTAAAGCTATGTTATAAATGATTTAATAACCAAACTCAAATATAGAAACGATCAAAGGTCAAAGTGGGAAGAAAGACAATTATATAAACTATCGATCTTCTTCTAAAATAGTGTTTGAAACATTTCAATAAAAATCCAATTCGCATTAGAGATGATTGAATGGTATTGCAAATAGATAAAAGTTTATTAAGAGACAAACTAAAATGCCATCACGACAGACAACAAGAAAGAGAGATATGGGTATTTGGTTTGATGATATATCATTCACCACAGCTAAAATCTTGTTGCATATCGTACCTAATAAAACCACCTCTACACTTTTACCAATAATTTAATTGTTTGTTTCCCTAGGAATGTAATACATTCTGATTAATTGTATGCTCTTTAATGCATTGGTAACAGTAATTTGCGATTTTTGCTTTTCACTTTTAATCACAGTGAACCTTTGTAAACCACCATACTTTATACATACATAAAACATTAAAATGTATGAATAAATGCAATTTTGTTCGCAAAATACACAAAGATATTGTGGCATCAAAAATAAATTTTTAAATGGAATTAATATTGAAGAATTATGTATGTTCTAATAATAATTATAATGATTTGTTTATTTTATTAAGATTTTAATAAATTTAGCTTTTTTTGTGTTTTTTTATTTTATTTTTGTTTACTTTTCTGGAGAAAAATTATTGTTTTTGTTTTGGGTAAAAAAGGGATCTGATCCTAATTTTTATTAAAAAATTTTAAGAAATGACCTAATAAATTACTAAGATAAACAATAAAAGAGATGATAGAAAAATTATTGTTATGTATAAACTTAAGAGTAAATCTTATTTACTTATTATATTTAGGTGTCAATATTCTTAAAATACCTCACTTATATAAGTTATTGTAAGTATGTTCAATTTTAAACTTACACTTAAAATAATAAGAGTGGAAAAATATAAAAAACTTTTTTAGAAAGATTTAAAACACAAATTTTTACAAAAAACTACCTTTATTATTAAAAAAAAACGAATTTAAAAAAAAACTTTATGATGTCAGTACACAAGTAATACTAGTGTATTAATCACAGTAAAAATTTCATCATTACTTTAATACAAAATCATTTAAAAAATAATATTATAAAAATAAAATAATTATGTTAAAAATATTTATAAAAAATATGATCAAAATGATAAAATAAGCTATAAAACAAATACTAGTGAAAAATAAAAGTTCATTGTAGTTTTTTCCAATATTTTATAAATTATTTCATTTTTATATAATTTATAAAATGTTGAAAATATAATATATATTACTTATTACCAATAATTATGATGTTTTTGACATCAATGATTCATCTTAAACATGTTTAAAGAGTTTTTTTTTAAAAACTTAAATAAATTTAATAAAGCTTTAGAATTTAATGAACACTGAAATAAAAGATAACAAATAAATTTATTTAATAGATAAAACCGGTTACAAAATATTTTATAAAAATCTTTAAAATATTTAATTTTTTTAAATTAATCAAAGTCTTTTTTATGTTTGTTATAATCTTTATAATTTAATTGAAGTTTTAAATACTTTTTTTTGTAAGACAATATGATTTATTACTTTTATAAAAATTTTTTAATTCTTTAATCGAAAAGTTATGGAAAAAAGAGTAACAATAAACAATTAATTATACTATACAAAACACTTTTTTAGTATAAATTTGAACCTTCTTTTTATTTTTAAATTTAATAATTAAACAGGGTTTTTAAGAGTGAATTATTTAATGAAACATTTAAAACTCATTCAATAAGTATAATAAAATAATTAAAATTATTCGCTCTAAACTCACTTAAATCTTTAATAATTAAATGAGTTTAAAAATGTTATAAATAATTTTAGTAAGAATTTAAATTTATAAAGTGATTTTAATTATAAATTAAATCTCTGTTATTATCGAATTTTTTTTGTTCAATAATTACACCTTTGTTCAGTAACTGAACTCTTTATTTATTAAATATTTGTTTTTTAATATTTCTATTAACCATTTATTTAATGTTATTGTGTAATTTTTTTAGGTTTCACTTTAAATCTAAGTTTATCAACAGTTAGCAATCTTTTTTAAAGTTGTTTGATTTAATTATAAAATATTTAAAATAAAAAACAAAGTTTAAAAAAAAATTAATAAGAATCGAACTTTATTAAAAGTAACCGGTATTTATATTCAACCAGCGTACAATTGATTACCTTTTTAATTATTTTTTTAAATATTTATATTA